CTAATAAATTATAAATTAACAAAATCTTCATATTTGCTTTAAAAATCATTTATCAAACACTAACTTCCAGATTATCTTGAAAATTAAAGATGCAAACTGCTATAAATCTGGCATCCTAATTGATTTCTGATTTTTAAAAGTATATAAAAGTCCCTCAAATTATTCCAAGTTTCACTCAAGAAAATTTTATTTTACTCTTTTCATAAGTTATGAAGCTTACAACCTGCTAAAACATTTGCCCAAATGTGGGAAAACTGCCTGGAGATGCAAAGCACAATTAAATAATTACATGAAAAGAACAAATGAAAATACCCGTTAAAACAACATTACTGTACCTGGCAGCACTTAAAACTGGTAATTTGTATTTTTTTTAAAGTTGCATAGCTGCAAGATGATTCAATGCTGATTAGCTGTTGAGCAGTTTTATTTAAGAGGAAAGAATATACTTAAGAAATTACAATTCAGTAAACAATCCAATATTTAATTCATTAAAATGTAATTATGTAACCTGATTTACTCTTTGGACTGCATTCTGATAACATTAAACTTTTAACTTAAAATGTTAAAGTATTTTAGCTTTCCTATGTAGAAGTCTATTTTCCACTCTTGGGGGGAGAATATTAGAACTTGAGATCATGGTCTACATTCAGAGAATGTTTCACTGCTTGATTACATTTCTTGGTTTCACATTTAAGACTTTAATTTATAGGAAGAAGAGTATGTGGTCTTCAATTTTAAAATAGATGAATGCAGAATCATGTTGGGGAAAACAAAGAGACCCCCAAACTAAAAAACACAACAAATCAAAACACTAGTTGCACAGCTCTAGAGAACTTAATAAAAAGTAAATCAACTTTTAAATCAGTTAACTTTGGCGTCTGCATACAAAATGTTTATCAGCATTACCTATGTAGATGACTATTAAGGGATGTGCAGCATTTTCAAAATCCCTGTGAGTCCTTATGTCATGTTTGGTGCACTGAGTTCTGTGGCAAATGTCCTCCCTCCAGCAGGGTTTTTCCCCTATATGATTGTCCACCTCTGCATCAACTGAGTCGCACAGAACTCAGATTTTTGGCTGAGTATGCCTGCATTTTTTGTTTTTGTTTTTCCAGAGACAGATGCCCATTTCCTCTTGTTTTTTTAAGCATCTTGAGAAGAGAAGAAAACCTGTGTAAAAGTAGACACATTTTGATTTAAGCAAAGGTCCACACTAGTAATACAAATCAAAACAAACATTCATTTCCCCATGAACATTGCTTTAGTTACCATAAATTTTCACACTTACTATTCTAAAAACTCATAAAAGTAGTGTTCTTCAAAAGAACAGATCAAGGACACACAGAAGGACCAATTAAAGCTTAAAATATCACAAAAAATCACCACCACATAGTTATCTCTCCTCTACAATAAAGACTATGTCAACATTTCAACTTTGTCATTATTCTACTTGTTATGGTGACCTGTGATCAGTGATCAGTGATCTTTGACGTTACTATCGTAAATGTTTTGGAGCACCACACACCATGCCCACATAAGACAAACTTAATAAATGTTGAATGTGTTCTGACTGCTCCAGCAACTGCCCATTCCCCAGTCTTCTATCCTTCTCCTTGGGCCTCCCTATTCCCCAAGACACAACAATATTGAACAATGGCCAATTAATAACCCTACAATGACCTCTAAGGGTTCATGTGGAAGGAAGAGTCACACATCTCTCACTTTAAGTCAGAAGCTAGAAAGGAGTAAGCTTAGTGAGAAAGGCATGTTTAAAGATGATAGGCTAAAAGCTAGGCTCTTGTACCAGTTAGCCAAATAGTGAATATAAAGGATAAGCTTTTCTTCTTCTTTTCAATTACTGATTTCAGAGAGGAAGGAAGAGGGAGAGAGAGATAGAAACATCAATGATGAGAGGATCATTGATCAGCTTTCTCCTGCACGCCCTGCACTGGGGATCAAGCCATGACCTCCTGATTCATAGGTTGATGCTCAACCACTTAGCCATGCTGGCCGGGCCAAAGGACAAGTTCTTTTAAGAAGTTAAAAGTGCTACTCCACTGAACGCACGAATAAGAAAGCTAAACAGCCTTATTGCTGATATGGGCAAAGTTCTACTGGTCTAGAGAAGATCAAACCAGCCACATCCCTCTATGCCTAAGCCTAATCCAAAGCAAAGCCCCAACTCTCTTCAATTCTATGGTGGCTGAGAGGTTAGGAGGCAGAAGAAAAAGTGTGAAGCTGGCAGAAGTTGGTTCATGAAGTTTAAGGAAAGAAGCCGTCTCCATAACATAAAAGAGCAAGGTGAAGCAGCAAGTGCTAATGTAGAAGCTGCAGCAAGTTATTCAGAAAGTCTAGCCAAGGTAATGAAGGTGGCTACATTCCACAACACACTTGCATGTAGACAAAACAGCCTTAGATGTCATCTAGGACTTTCATAGCCAGGGAGGAGCAGTCACTGCCTGGCTTTGAAGCTTCAAATGATGGGCTAACTCTTGCCAGGGGCTAATGCAATTAACTTGAAGCCAATGCTCCTTACCAACTTGAAAGTCCCAGGGCCCTTAAGAATATGCTCAATCTACTCTGCTACATAAACAGAAAAACAAAACCTGGAGAACAGCATGTAAACCATGGTTTACAACATGGTTACTGAATATTTTAAGCCACTGCTGACACGTACTGCCCAGAAAAAAAATTCCTTTCAAAATAGTGCTGCTCATTGACAATGTACCTGGTCACCCAAGAGCTCTGATGGAGATGTACAATGAGATGACTGCTGTTTTCATGCCTAACAGAACATCCATTCTGGAGCCCAGGAAATCAAGGACTAATTTTGATTTTCAAGTCTTATTCAAGAAATACATTTTGCAAAGCTGTATTTGCCAGACAGTCATTCCTCTGAAAACCCCCTGGAAGGATTCAGTATTATAGACGCCATTAAAAAAATTAGTGCTTTGTGGGAAGAAGGCAAAACATCAACACTACAGGGGTTAGGAAGTTGATTCCAACCCTCATAGATGACTTTGAGGGGTCTAGACTTCAGTGGAGGAAGTAACTGCAGATGCGGTGGAAACAGCAAGAGAACCAGGATTAGAAGTGGAGCCCGAAGTGGGACTGACTTGTGGCAATTTCATGAAACACCTGAACAAATGAGGAGTAGTTTGGATAAGCAAAGAAAATGGTTAAGAATGTATAATCCAAATAACACTTCAAAAGGCAATTAAAAGGAAAAAGGGAGAATTACCTATAAAACAGGAAGCTGATGCTTAATCTGAAGGGTGCTCAGGGCAAGATCTATTTACTTCAAACCATTCATCTATGCAGCTAGAAAATAATAAAACCAGAAAAAGTGAAACATTTACGCTTAATTATTAATGTCATGACAGCCATAATAAAAAATGCTTACCTCTTTGCAAAAGAAAAATGAAATACTTTTAAGTGATCATATTTGGCATATACATATAAGTAAAAGATAAAAATGTACTTATTACATTTTGCTTATTCTAAGCAGTTAAGGAAATAATCTTTGTAAAATTATGCTATAAAATACTTTGAAGTTTAAGCAACAATCATTATAAAAAGAATCAAAAGAACTACCACTTTACCAATATTCAAAATCAAATGACAAATCTGAAAAGCTGTTTTTCTCTTCAAAATATTCATTTATATAAATATCAACCTGTTCATATCACCTATCAATGTAATCAAAAACTGCTTTTAAATTTTAATTCTTGACAATACTGCATCACATTTAAAAAGACCATATTTATATGTGAATATTAAATACTTATTTTAATTCTGTTCCATCCTGTAGTACATATACATACACAAATAAGTATATCATCATCCACTCACATTTATGAAGTATTTGATGATTTTGTTGGGAAGTTAAATATTAGAGTGCACACCATTATCCTGTCGATCTGCACTGTTCAATGCAGTAGCCACGTACCACATGTGGCTGTTTAAACTTAAATTCATTAAGGTGAAATGAAAGGAAAATGCAGTTCCTTAGTCACACTAGCCACACTTTAAGTGCTCAACAGCCACATGGCTGGTGGCTCCTCTACTAACAGTACGAATACAGAACACTTCTATCACCACAGAAAGCTCCCTGTGGCAAATGATAAACTTAAGTAACTTGCCCAACAGCCAGGAATTTTCCCCAGCAGGATTCAAACTATTTAACATTCTCTCCGTTGACACATTTCAAGTCTGCACATGCCATAAACCAAGATGGTTTTGCCCTTGCTGGTTTGGCTCAGTGGACAGAGGGTTGGCCTGGGGTCCCAGGTTCAATTCTGGTTAAGGGCACGTACCTTGGTTGCAGGCATGACCCCCAGCCCTGGTTGAGACGCATGCAGGAGGCAACCAATCAGTGTTTTTCTCTGTCTTTCCCCCTCTCCCACTCTCTTTAAAAAAATGGGAAAATATCCTCGGTGAGGATTAACACAGACCACACACACACACACACACACACACACACACACACACACACACACACACGACAGCTTGGCTAATATTCTTCTTGCAGTTAGTTTAAAATATTTCCTGTGTTGCTCTGAAACCACAATACTTTAGAAGAAACCAGGTAGAATTTGGAGTCAAACAGATATGGGTAGAACCTCGGCTCTTCCATTTACTAGCCAGGTGACCTTGGAGAGATTTTTTTACTATTGTCCCTCAGCTTATTTCCTATTGTGAAATGAGACTGATACAAGGCTTACATGAGAGACCTATTTTAGAAGCTGTCAACAATACCTGGGTCACAGTAAATGCTGGACAAATGATAGATTTTTGGGTACAAACAGATAGGGGCTTAAATCTTAATTCTAGCAGTAAAAAAGGGGGCATCATTTGTTAAGAAATGGGGGGAGGGAGTTTCAGTGAAGAAGAAACCTTTTCCGCCCTCACTACAATGTCTGAAACTCTGAGGGAGATCTTTGCTAAAATCAGTGTGTGAGCATAGAGATAAACTCACCCTTTATGGTAGATGCACAAACAAGGCAGCCGTGCTATCGTGTCCCCCTGCTGCAAGTCTTCCAGGCATATCGCACATTCCCCAGTATCTTTACTCAGGACATCCTCTGAGGAAAAAGGAAACAAAGGCAGGACAATAAGCAGAAAAAGAACCACGTGAATGCTAATTGATAAAGAGTGATGACTGGCATATTTTGTCAGGAATATATAAAACTCAGCACCCATATTTGAAGTAAAGCGGAAAGACTGCACCAATCTCTACCTAAACGCTGAAAGACAGAGTAAGGTAAGGAAGTTTCCAAAAATTAAGTATTTGTACTATAAAAACCAACAAATTTAATTGTTCCCATAAATGTAATAGTTCCTTGTAGAAAAGTACATTTCCTAAGCATTCCCCTTTTAGTTATTAATTTTGAGACCGCAGATTATGAGGAAACACAAACTCCATGTGGCCTATAAAAGAGAAGGTAGCAGCAGATGATTTACCCGAAAAGCTGGAGGGGGTACCAGGGCAACTTCTGCAGAAAAAAGGCGTTGGCAGAGGATTTATGCTTTTGGAATTTAGGGAATAGGCTGAGGTGAGTATTCCCTAGATAACTACTGAGTAGCGCACAAGCTAGTATGTCACAACCAGAGACTTAACCTGAAAAGGATTTCCAGCCAAGTAAAGCTGGGTAAGTGAAAAATGCTTAGTAATGGCCCCCTAAAGTGTCCTTGCCCCATTTTTCTTTTCTTAACCCTGGAGGTCCCACCCACTACCTTAACTCCACCCCATCCCCAACCCCAAGTCTTGCCTCCTTCTCTTGATCCCCATTTTTCTTTTTTTAAATTCTGGATAGCTTTCCACAGATAGGGAACCAGTTTAATGTAAAACACCTACCTAATTAGTGATAAAGTTAATTGGTATATGGAGACCCACAAAATGAAGGCCACCCTAGTGGCCCCATCCATGTCACAAACCTAACCCAAAATCAGCATGCACTAAGGGGAACACCTCACTGTCAAAGGAACCTAACACCAATCAGTCCTCCAACTCAGTTTCAGCCAGCTTACCCTACCCTAGAAAGTAGGACCTGCTAACGGAGCTCCCCGCCAAACATGCCCTTTCTTGTGGTCTCTTTGAACACTCTATAAAACTTGCTCCTGCCCAAAATCCCTCAGAAAGTGCTAGTAGGCAATGTACACCCCCAACCCCCGGACTGTTTTCCACTGAATAAAGAACATCAAACTTATTACTAAATTGTTTTAGATTTGACACTAGGAATATGATAGTGAGAACAAAAAGAAAGAAATCTGAAGAAAACACTAAAAGTCTATAATTCCAAATAATCTATAATAATAAAAGCGCAATATGCTAATTAGACCAGACAACCTTCTGGACGAAGCCAGGGCTGCGAGGGAAGCCCGGGTCCTGGGTGCTAGGTGCTGGGTGCTGGGTGCCAGAGGGAAGTTGGTGCCAGCAGCTGGGGGAAGGAAGGCCCACTCTTGCACAAATTTCGTGCATTGGGGCCTCTAGTATAATACTAGTATATTCTCACCACTTAGATTTTTACCACAAAGATATAGCACACATCATGTATTTTTTAAAAAAGAACCATCACTTTTTATCAAGCATAAAACATCAATGATTACCTACTAGTTTTACATACCACCAAGGGGAAAAATGCCTCCATTAAACTATGATACAAATCAATTTTAAGATGCATCTCATTTTTCAAAGTATGAAGAAGAAGCATGTCTTAAAATTGATGAAATAGGGTATCATACTTTCTATATTTGGAATACATTAACAATGCATCTAGATTTAAGTCTAAAAGAGCCACAGAATCTAAAATGTCATAAATTAAGAAAATGAGATGGACCAGATTTTAAAAGAGAAAAAGTATTGCCAATGTTATCACTGATAAGGGTTTAATCTCCAACATTTATAGGGAACTCATACAACTTAACAAAAGGAAGATAAACAATCCAATCAAAAAATAGGCAAAGGACCTAAATAGACACTTTTCAAAAGAGGACATTCAGAAAGCCAAGAGACATATGAAAACATGCTCAAAGTCACTAATCATCCGAGAGATGCAAATCAAAACAACAATGAGGTACCATCTCACACCTGTCTGAATGGCTATCATCAACAAATCAACAAATGACAAGTGCTGGAGAGGATGCGGAGAAAAAGGAACACTCGTGCACTGCTGGTGGGAATGCAGACTGGTGCAGCCACTATGGAAGACAGTATGGAGTTTCCTCAAAAAGTTAAAAATGGAACTCCCATTTGACCCAGTGATCCCACTTCTAGGAATATATCCCAAGAAACCAGAAACACCAATCAGAAAGGATATATGCATCCCTATGTTCATAGCAGCACAATTCACCATAGCTAAGATTTGGAAACAGCCTAAGTGCCCATCAACAGATGAATGGATTAAAAAACTGTGGTACATCTACACAATGGAATACTATGCTGCTGTAAAAAAAGAAGAAATTCTTACCATTTGCCACAGCATGGATGGAACTGGAGAGCATTATGCTAAGTGAAATAAGCCAGTCAGAGAAGCATAAATACCACATGATCTCAGTCATTTGTGGAATATAATGAACAACATAAACTGATGAACAAGGACAGATCCAGAGAGAGAGGCACTGATTGGACTGTCGGGCCTTAGAGGAGGGTGGGGGTAAGGGGGAGAGATCAACCAAAGGACTTA